TATACTGTATACATCACTCTTCTTATTTAAAGAATATGATTTATTACTGAATTTTTTTGGATCAATATAAGGAACTACACCAAATAAATCTTTTTTCTTTTTAGTTGACGCTTCGATTCTCTTTGACAATCCAAAATCCGCCAATTTAATAGTATCTTGATTGACTAATACACTATTAGAATGCTATAATAAAAGAAATAAAATATAAATAGTTATAATAAAATAATATAATTAATATAATAATTATTTTATCAATAAATTTAATAAATTACCAAATCACGATGTATTATGTCTTCATCATGCAAGCATGATACGGCACTAGCTAACTGGTAAGCAAATTTAAGTTTATCTTCCCATACAAGTTTCTCAAAATTTTCTTTTAAATAATTGTTAAGAGAACCACTGTCAGCGTACTCCATCACTAAATGATATTTCTTAATGTCATCACTTTGATTCTCTAAATAAATAAAGAATTTATTACTTTCATCAATTTATTGTACTAATAATACAAAATAATGTTTTATTTATTACCTTGATCTGAAATAGTAATCCCATAAAAATTAATAATATTATCATGAGAAATAAGTTCACGTTTAAGTTCAATCTACATATTGACGATAAAAAATTTAAGTAAAATAACATTATAAATTATATTATGATACATATTTTATAATCACCTCATTAATAAGTTCTTTAATAGCTTCTTCATCAATATTAAGAAGAGATTTTAATGCAAAATATTTAGGCAAATCTTTCCATTTAGCACGATAAACTTTACCAAAACTACCGATACCAATTTCTTGAATATTTTTAAAATATTTATACTCGTAATATTTAATATGCTTTTTAGCAATAGCTTCTTCAATCCACTTAAACCATTCATTCATTTCTGACATTTTGAATATATATATAATATTGTTACGGAAAAAGTTATATTTATTCAATTACGAAAAGAAGAGGAAAAAAAAAGTTTATTTAATTCATTAAATTTACACAGCATGATTGTGTAATACATAAAATTACACAGTAACACAGATTGACTTTAATCACGTGTGATGAATTAGTGAGGCAATCGTTCGCTGATCAGCAGCTATCATTTAAAAAAGAAAAAAAAAGCCAATTATGACTAAATAATATAATATATTATTTAGTCTAAATAATCTAAATATAACTAAATAAACTAGATGTAACTAAATAGTTTAAATATAACTAAATAATCTAAAGTTAATTATTGTTAATAATCTGGATATGACTAAATGATCTAATTCTTATTTTTCCTACTATATTCCTTACCTTTGAAATCACCTTTTTCCTATTTATTTTTTATGATTACATGATTAAATAACCTAAATATGACTATGTCTAAATAATCTGAATGTATCTATTTTTATTACGTGCTGTGTGTTGATAAATGTTTTCTAATATAATTTGCGCTGGTGGATATCCATGATTGTTTGATTTTTAAATAGATGTCTGCTTGTTGGTGGTAGTCTGTAGCAATTAGAACTTTGGGTTGTTGAACATCTGTTAGCATTTCTTTACAGTTTACACCCCATTTTATTGCCAAGAAGTTGGTTGTATGTTGGCGCTTTTTATTTTACTTTTCACTGCAAAAAAAAATATTGTGTCGGGTAGCGTAGTAATTTGATGTAAATTCACATTTAAATTTGGTCAGCACTATAGCATAATTCTGGCCGATCTTTTGGGCATGTGATTCAAGGATCCAGGCGTGCCTTTGGTGTGATTATTGGATAACAAGAGAAGCTATTATGACAAGGAGAAATATCATAAATCTTACTGGATAATCCCTTATTATTTTCGTTGGAATAAAAACTATCAATACGACACTGGATAGCAAACAAAAAAAAAAAAAGATTGCTTTAGTTGACATATAGAAACACGCCATTTTTGATCATCATCTATATCTAAATACAATGGTTTTTTCATTGTCGTCAAACCAATAAACATAATATGTGAAGGGACCTGTAATAAAAAGGATTCCCTATAAGAAATATGTATACGGAAAGGATACGTTTTGTATACATTTTATGTACGTTTCTATAGATTCCGTATACAATTTCCGTATATTTAATAAGCAATTCATTTTTGAACATTTTTTAAAAAAACTAATGTATAAGAAATGTATACGGAAAATCATGCGGAATGTATACGGAATTTTTAAACTTAATATTTTTAGAAAATAATTTTACAAAAATAACGTATCATAACACGAGATCACATGATTGTTTATAGTTTTGTTATGATACGTTTTTTGTTTTTTATATAAACCCTTACTTTGATGAGTTTGATCTTCCGATCTTCCTTTCTGTCTTTCCTTTCCTTTCTCTTTCTCTTGTCTTATTTTTGGTATTTTTTCTAAATTTTTCTTCTTTCCCCTTTTAAAAATAATTTTTTTTTCGTACCTCACTTTAAAAAATTTTTTTTTCGTCACTCTCCTTCGAAAAAAAATTTTTTTTCGTCACTCCCTTAAAAAAAAATTTTTTCTTTTATTCCACTCTTCTTTTTTTTTAAAAAAAATTTCTTCTTTCTATTTCTATTTCCTCTTTATAAAAAATTTTTTATTTTTCTAACTTTGACGTCCTCACTTTAAAAAAAAAATTTTTTATAAATTTACTAACTTCGTTAACACTCTTTTTAAAAAAATATTTTTTTTGGTTTATTCTTTATTCCCCTTTCTTCTTTATTTATATTTAATTTCATAGGCCAGCAGATTTTTTTTGTGAGAATATTCAGTTTCTTTTTCTTTTTTGTAGATCAGTTTGGGAGTCCTTTTCTTTTTGTAGGATGATTCAGGATTTTTTTCTTTTTTTAGGTCAGTTCAAATTTTCTTGTTTTTTTGTAAGTTGGGTTCAGATTCTTTTCTTTTTGTAGGTTGTTTCAGTTTTGTTGCTTCAGAGTCTTCTTTTTTTGTAGGAATGCTGACCTTTGGTGACTTGGACGATTGCAGATACTATATGAGGGGGTGTTTTGTTTCCAATATTTTTTTTTGTTCTTTTAGGTTGTTTGACTCCAAATGAACCTGAACTTATAGATAATTTTGGTTGCAATAGGTGGTTTTAATAAGGAAGGAATTTTCATAATGTATTTGTACTTTGTTTATTTTTTATTTTTTATTAATTTAATAAAGTAAAATTAGATTTATGTAAGTACAATTATAGTAAACTGTAATACAAATAGTAAATTCAGTGACCAAATCGTATAAATTTCGTGATAAAATCAGTGATCAAATCATGTAAATTCCATATAAATCCCGTGCAAATTCCGTATCCAAACCATATTTTTAGTGATACGGAATTGTGCATTTTTCCGTATCCTATTATGATACGTTATTTCTAAGGAAAAAAAATCGTATAAAAACTTTATAAAAAACGTATCCAATTTTTTTATAGGGATTTGTTAGATAATCAGACGTCACATCCTGAAATTGTAAAATCAATAAAATCAATCTATACTTACAAGATCGCTTACAGTCTGACGAAAAGAGAAAAGTTTCGCCAACCGCTAGATTGATATTTGCGGGACATTAAGCCTTCAATAAACCACTAAAAGGGCTTGATAATTTTTTCCTGAAACTGATGCGGATTCGTGGTAAACTTAAATCCTTTTGTGAAGGATGGATCCTGACGAACTTTAATATATGCATCACGAATCATTTTTTTGTCAGTCACGATATCCCATCCTGCATATAGATTAGGTTAGTCATTAGAAGGCGAAAAAACATATCGGTTTTAACGCCTCATCATTTCTATAACTTGTTCATTTACTTCATTTATAATTATCGGAGGAATCATTTCCGTATCTTCTAGTTCTTGATTAGATACAGGTGATTTCTGCAAATCTTTTTTGTATTTTTGCGTAATCCAAATTTCAAAAAAAAATGGATTTGTGTAATGCCACGTGATGATATATAGCTTTGGTCAATCTGAGTAATCAGTAAATTAATTTTCTTTTTGTGATCCTAAAATCGATTTTTTCCAAGTTGATAAAATTGCCTTTTTTAGATATTGTGTAATATCACATGATATTTTGGCCAATGAAAACTGTGTTACACAATTTAAAGTTTATTATATAGGTATTCTAAACATTACGCCATGTGATACCGTCAGTGATTTTAATACAGTGGTGAGCAAAATTATTTGGAAAACTTTAAAGTGAATTTACTCAACAACCGGTGATTACATTTGCAAATAGTTTAATATATTTAAAGTGCAATGTCATGAGATTTAAACTATATACAATTAAAAAATTATCCTCTCTCCCTTTACCCTAATAATTTCCTCATAACTTAATTTTATTAATTTAATAAAATATTTGTATCTTTATTAGAAATAAAATTTTCATTCCTTAACGTTCAACATTCCCGAATTCCTTGGCCTATAATATTTTTTGCGATATTTGTGTCATTTTTAGTTGATTTTTACTAGGTTTTTGTTTTTAAGCCATATCTTCCCATCCTCACGATAGTGTGAAGTTAAATTTCACTCAAATACTGCACTTCTTTGACCCATAATCATAAATTTATTTTTTGCTATCATTTTTCAATAAAATCTTTTAGTAAAGAAAGAATATTTATTTTGAGATGTATTAAGTATATTGCAATTTGATCTGCAAATTTTTTTACAAGTCACTACACGTGACTGAAGTCACGTGAAATTTTCCAAAAAATTTTGCTCACCACTGTATATGCATATTAAGATAACAGTAAACTAATTATTTTTGTTATCTGTCCCATTCGCTACCTCCACTTTTTTTACTGAAAAATTGATAAAGTTGCAGTACACCAAAAAAAATAAATTATTGTTTATGTGCCATTTTTTGTAAATGTGTTCACTTTGTTGTATTATATCAAATCTTTTTTTTTTGGAGGTAATCAAATTTTAAATACAGAAATTGATTTAAAATCATAGAAACATTATAGGCATGTGTAAAGATAGTGAAAAATTTAGCATAAGCTAGAGATCTGCAAATTATAAATTATTTGTAAAGTAAATACTAAAAGTGATATTGCGTAGGGTTAAAGGTAAAGTGAAAAAGATGTATTTTACATAAAAATCTGTAAGAGCTAATAATAAAGAAAAATATGTAAAATTGTGATTATAGAAGTTTATAAAATTAAAAAATCGTGCTGTTTTTCTTGTTTTTCTTGCTTTTCTTGCTTTTCTTGCTTTTCTTTTTTTTACTTTTGTTCTTGTCCGGGATTTCTTTATAGACTCCCTCAAGTTTCCAGGGTTTCTTATCATCCGCACGTTTAAAATCATGTGTAGTACGTTCAGCTTCAGTATCTGAAAGAGAGAAGAAAAGTTAATACAAAATTATGTTAAAAAAATAAGATTTGTACACATACAATACTCCCATTCAAAAACAACCCCATCTTCATCAACATCCCATGCCACCTCGCCAGTCCAGGGTTTTGTTGCCGCCTCTTCCAAAGAATTCCCAAGTGGCCACAGTGCATCAGACATCCTGTCTAACTCAAAAACTCGACCATAGCAATCTAAAAACATTATTCCATATTCTCGCTTCCCAATAAGTATGATATGGTTAAAGCCAAAATTTCGAACATCGTAAAGATCTGGTCCATAACCCATTTTTACCCTCATACACTCGGTAAGACTTGATACTTCACAGGGCCCTTGATTAACAGATTCTGCAAGTTGGTGACGGTTGGATTCACTCGCAATAATTTCGATTACCATGGATGAATTGTTGCAACATTCATGACCCTCTGACACATTATGCAAAGGTATCTCAGTACAATCTCTTCCAATTCTATAGCATGGCTGTACAAATCGGCATGATACCCATTTTGTCCTTTCATCGCTTCCCACGACACCGATTCTGCATAATTTCCCCATAGATGCTTGTATAGACTCAATTCTTGCTCTGTTAGGGCACGAGTTATCCCTTAAAATATCATCATATTCTCTGACCTCATCTTTGCTACCGCTTTTAGTTCTTTTACATTTAATCTCGTTATTTCTGGCAGTTTCGCTGGTGATAGGTAAACTGAAGCTCTGGGCCTGAATCTCTTTATTTTGTTGTGTGTAAGGTTTATCATAAATGGACGGAATGCTTTTCTTAGTTCTATCTTTATGAACTGTCTCTTCAAAACTACCAGGTTCCATGAGAGATATTCCCTTTGTCTCTTGAAAATTACTTTCTTGATGAGAAGATTGACATAGAAGCTCCATAGGAAATAAAGCGCGTTCAAGCTCATATATATCATTTTCTTTACTTTTTTGCCATTTACTTTCTTCACTTCGGTTGGCAAAGTGCTGTGGAAAATAGGAATGAGAAAATCTTGTTTCATTCATCTTTTGGGAACCAAGTAGAAAAACTATTATTGGGGCAAAATCAGGTTAGCGGTTGGTAAACGTCATGTCATCACGTGCTACTCACTTTTTTTCCTGGGAATCGATAAAGAAAAATATATAAAATATTCTGTTAGCTCTTTCAATAAGGAAAGTAAGGAGTTAAATAAACGAGAAATCTTGGTCATTTCTGACATCATTTGATGTCATTTTAATGTCATTTGATAGAATCCACTTATTGGTTTATTTTCACGTAACGATCAACATTCACTGGCCAATAAAATTTCAACTAAAAATATATTTTTTTTATTACAATATAATAATACAAGTAGACGTTTGGAAAATTAGTACTGAATATCTAGTAATGTTTGACATGAATTTGTGAAGAGAGTTTGATTTGTAAACTCTAAAAAATATTATTATTAGTAAAAAAATTTAATATAATACTTTTAATGTTTTTAAACATTACCCAAGATCCTTTTTTCAGAATCGGTCTCAACTTTTTTTGATTTATAATTATCAGTCTTTTCAAGTTTGCAACTATCTTCATCCATTTCTTCATTAATATCCGATTCTATTTGAGTTTCTTCTAAGTGCAATCTCTGATTATATGGTTTGTTAATTCATCAATAGATTTATCTAAGTATTTATAGTAATGTTCACACTTTAAACCTAAACATTCTTCATAATATGCATGTCCACATATCAAAACTTCACCCCTTTGTTTGTTGAATTTCTGCAAAAGTTTTTATCACAAAACTTTTTCATATTTGGAGGTATAGGAGAATGGTATCCAAGAGGTAAAGCATCCAATGGAAAACTTGTAGGAATGGATGTAAAATAATAATGAGGTTTTTAATTTCTTTTTCCCTCCATTTTTTTTCTACTTTTCCATTATTTTTCCAGATCTCATCAAAAAAGTTCAATAAAAATAAGAGCAGTTCTTTTAATCATTTCATCTAAATATTTTTTTTTATATGGATAGTCTCTTTTCGGTACAAATGATGTAGCAAATAAATTTTTATCAATAAATAGAGCATCACGTCTAAGGGATTTACTTGAAGAAACTTTTGCTATGGTATGTCTTTGTAAAAGACTTAAAATTTTCAATAACATACTCATCAAATTATTTTTTAAGGTTTCGATGATGGGATGGTTGATTGATTGCTAATAATACACATCAGACAAAAAGGTAAAAAGAATTTATCGTAATTATGTCTTTGGAACCTTCTCATCATACACCATAGATGAAATATTGTATCAACATATTCATTAAATTTATTATTTCGAAAAAGAACCGTATAGATATCCAGGGTTGCTGGAATAAGGTTATCAAGTAAATCAAAAAACATTCTATATCCAAATAATTTTTGTATTGCCAAACCTTTCTATTATAATATTCTTTATAAGTTTTCATCAGGAACTTGCTAGATATATTAATAAATTAATTTTTTTTAGCATCAAAAATTGTTAAATAAAGCTGGTTAAAAAATAACCAAAAAACAAGAAAGACTGATTAAAAGAAGTTTCGGAGAAGTCGTTCGTAAGAGGAATAGATGATGATGATACTTCACTGAACGTTAAATCGCTATAGGTCGATTTCACTTCTGTCTCACCGGTGGTACTTCTGATCTGTGCGCATATTCGAAAGATCAGAAGACATTTTTTGTTGCGTAAAAACACAGTTGAAAAATACAACTACCTTATTTTCCGAAGTTCGTAGCTGAGCCTATGAAAGTTGAAAAGGGGGAGGAGGGACTGCACGTAAAGGAGGAACTTCTTGAGATATTTAGCAATAAGCAACTTTGTAGTGGTAGCCAGTATCTCAAATAATTTAAGCCAAACATACTTGTTTTGATCCTTTTCCTTTCTTGTTCATTGCAACAAACTCAGCATCAGCGCATTACTGAAGTCCTTGCTGTGCAATTTGAAATCCCTGTTGTGTTACCCTATAAAAAAAGAATGTCCGGAAATTGTAGCTGAAAACGTCCGGAAAATGTTTATTTGTCTGGAATATGTCCGGAATATTGCAATATTCCGGACGTTGGAAAATTTCCATTTTCCGGAAAATGTCCAGAAAATGTCTAGGAGGGTTCAGACCCAGCGTCCAGAAAGTGTCCGGAATATTGCAATTTTCTGGACGTTTTCCGGACACACGGACATCTTCCGGATGTTTTTAGCTACAATTTCCGGACATTTTTTTTTTACAGGGTTATCTTATGGATAGATTGCCTTCCCCTTTCCTGTCATAACAAAGTTCAACAAGAACTGAATAAGAAATGCATCAAAGAAATTAATAAATACTTGCCCTTTCAACTTCTAATTCCTTGCTGGTCAATTCAGATTCCATCGCTAATGATGCGATCTGATACTTTGTATCCCAAATTTTCTTATTTTCATCACTCTTGGCAATACCCTATATATAAAAATAAGGAAATTAATAATAATATGATAAAATCAGATAATACACTCCGAGACAAAAAAAATAGGTGGGAAGAAAGTTCAAAATAAACCACAGGCACTACGGCCCTCCCTCAGTGACACTACGGACCATGAGTTTAGCTTAGAAGGAGTTTCTTATCCAGACACTATAGACCGGCACAACGTTTCCTTGGCCACACACATACTGTGTTACTCGTCAGTTTTACATACTGGAAAACCTTTTCAACATACTGTTGCCGGATGAGCCAAGGAGTGCGCTGATACCACCTATTGATTGTATGAGGTTTATAAATAACTATACTTTCCTTTAATTCGTTCTGCAATCCAGAGATTATTTTACAAGCTGGATATATTCCCATGTATATTTTGTTCAAGCACTTCAGCTCCTCAGCTAAGGCCGTATATGAATTTTGCTTGGTAATTAATGTTGAACGTGGTTGATTCTCAATTCAATAGATATCCCATTCGTTTACGTCTTCCCAGTCATTGGGATCCTTGTCCCAGTAATCTATAACAGCCAAATTTATATTTCTCAACATTCTGACCAATAAAAATAAGAACGGAGTGTATATTCACCTGAATATTTCAGCTTTGAACGTACCTCCTTTAGCATATCGACAAGCAATTTTTTTTTGGTGAAAAAAAAAGACAGTAAGCGATGATTATACGCGATTTTTTATGACGATGTAATGCCGTAACTCACCTAGTAAATTAATTAATTGTGAGGCGCAGTATTATATTTAAAATCAGTATATAAATTTTTAGTAGTTTAAAATTGTATTTTAATAGTCCGCAATGACGTTAAATTAGGATGTTAGGTTATTGGTCCGATATATTAAGATATCAGGTGGTTAATTTGTTAGATCATGATATAAAATTGGATGATAATTTAATTGGTTACTCAATGAAGGATACGCAGTAATTTTAGTACTACTTTTAAATAACAGATCAATTCGATCTCCCCAAAAATCAGGATACGAATCTTGAAAATAAAAAGAAATTTTAGGATAAATATTTAAATATTATTAAACCAAGCATATTATTGTATTTATTTATATTATTAATAAAGTATTATTTTGTTAATATCTAAGGTGGCAACGTGACTTATCACGGGCTTAGATGTCACAACTTACAACGATCATCCTGATCACAATTTTCACAGCCGTTACATGATTTAGGCCTAGGTCAAGGACCCCTGAATACAGAGATATCACTTTGTTGTACGTTACAATTTGTAACACCTATCACTATTTCATGAAAAAATTTTTGATGCAAATGCTTAAATTTGGCGAAACTTTATTAATGATTTTTCAGATATATACATAGCGAATCAGAAAATCTGGCTACGTGGATCAACTAATGGTCAAACGAAATTACAAATATAAATTATCTAAACAAAAATCCGCTTAACAAATGATATGGAATCAGTTTTCATAAAGGGCAGATCTAATATAAAAATAACAAAAAAAGGGACGTTTATTTTTTTTTAGAATGTTTGACACAAAGATTTCATCTAGGAATATTAAAAAAAGATATAGTTACCAGGCGGTCAAAAAGTTAAATGATCAAGAAAATGAAAAGAATGAATATACAATTATTAAGGACTGCATAAAAAAATATGATGGCCATCGGCATTTTGCTAAAATCATTAAAATTAACACAGTGAAATATATTTTAATGTATTTTAATGATGAACAAGAATTATTTAAGGCCACATATGACTCAGCAATGAACAAAGATTTAAGTAAAGGACTTCAGATAAAAAAACAAAATGAACTTATAGGAAAAGATGGGTTTCAAAAAGCTGAGATATCAAAAGACACTTACAAACAACGCACAGATTCTTTTGGAGGGCTAACAATTTGTAGATGCGTTAACGAGTAAAGAAGTAGTCGATAAATTTAATCAATTAAATTCAGACTTTAGTAACCGTATCGAAAATATTAGTGGGAAAGAAGACTCAGCCAGCAAAGGTAAAGAAAGAGGAAAAGTTGTGGAATCAGAAATCGAACAATTGAACGAAAATAACAAAGCGTAGCGACAGTTCAGGGACGAAGAGACAACTCTGATAGCGAATAAACGTTCAATAAAGTAAACAAATTTGATAAATAAGGTTGTATTTTATTTTCGTTGGAAAAGGGTGTGAAGATTATTTTAGTCAAACAAAAGAAGACATTTTTGGCTAGCAAAAAAACATTTCTGTCAGACGGAAATCAAATAGGCGTTATACTTTCAGTATATTACTTTCTTGATTTTACAATTTTTAAATTTTTTTCTTTTTGTTTTTTTATTTTTTTTATTTTTTGATGTGTTTAGTTTAGCGTGTTCACAATTTCAATCTACTAGATAAATGCTTTATTTAGCGGATGTTCTAGAAGCGTCTACATTGTAATAAATTACATAACGTGAATATTACAATATTAATAAAGGTTATTTAATAAAAATAATGATGATAATAATATTCTTAAACTTTATTTGAAACAAACCTTAACGCAATTTTTAAACCATAAGTTGTTACAATTTTGATTCAGAAATTCATTTTCAAAAATTGTATATCAGATATTTTTTTAATAAATTAAAATTATAATTGAAATTTTATTTTTTCGATATGTAAATGAGAAATTTAAGGCGATTCGCATCGCACATTTTAACTTGATTTTAGAGATGCTCTAACCATCTTAATTAAATGATTAATTTTACTTGTGTAACCAGTTAAGAGTGCAACTAGGGATGCCAACGGTCGGTTCGGTTCGGTTTCGGTTTTAAAACCGCGGTTTTCAGCTGAAACCGAACTGACCGCAAAACCGACCGATAAAACCGAATTGCAAAACTGATCGCAAAATTACTGCAAAATTGAATGAACTAATGTTAGAAAGTGTTAATTATAATTTTATTTGATAATATTCCTTAAAATTATAATTTTTTTTACGATAATAATGTCAATTTTGCGATTTTTTTCAGCGGAACAAAAAATCACGTGATCGACGCGTAAAAAATTTTCTTATTATTTCAAAAATAAGAATACTATATATATAAATAAACACCAAAATCATAATTTTTAATAGTATTCTCAATATAATAAACATTCTTTTCTTTTGGAATATATGATTAACTGATCGGTTTTTTTGTCGGTTTTTTTATATATAAAACCGACGGTTAACCGGTCGGTCTTGGACTGAAACCGAACCGTAACCGAACCGATAAAAACCGGTTATAATCGGTTATAACCAAACTTTTGGCATCCCTAAGTGCAACAGTTCAGACTAAAGTTTGGCTGACACTATATTTTATTTATTATTTAGGTTGGTATTAATTAAGTCAATTAGATTTTGAAAGATGTAATAAAGAATATCATTATATTATTAATTTCTTATGAATAAAACGAGTGAATAAATGCGAATTTAATCAAAGGAAATCTCAATAAATTTTAGATCCGCTAGTTAATAATCTTTGGATGTTATTTAATATATCAATGGACCGTTGGAAATTGTACTGTACTATGTCAGTGCAATTTAATACGTACTGTACTTTATAGTGTTGTATTTATATTGGTTTATAATGTCACGAGGTAACATCAAATGTTAACGCAGATCATGTTTACATAGAACTACTGTATTTATTAATTAAACTCTTTCTTTTACTCTTACTGCTAGAAATTAATTCATGAATAATAGAAATTTAGTTGATTGATCTATAAATGAAACTTTACAATGAATATTGCAGCATGCAGATATCTCAAGTAAATATTTATCGTTTCAATATTGTACGCTGATTAACTATTGATGAAAATATAAATGGTAGGTAATTGACTGACATATACGTTATGAACAAGTACTGTGCAGAGAGATGGGATTAGCAACGATGAGCGAATATAGATAAGAAATTAGTTTACATAGCGATATTTAACGAGAAGAAAAGAAGTTATCAAAATGTATCTAGAAAAGGATATAAACATTGCTTGGAAATTTTTAAAAACACACAAAACTCCAAGAAAATCAACAAAACAACAAGCATCATTGGCAGCCATTTTATCCTATTGTTAAGTATATCACATATAATAATTATATTATCGTTTAGCTTTTTTTAGTTCATATTGAGAGTCAAAAAAGTTTAAAAGTTTATGTATTAGTTTTAAAAAAAAATTATATGATAAAAGATTAAAAAAAGTTTATTATATAAAAGTTTAAAAAATTTATATAAATGTATAAATAAGTTTATTTTAAGTGATTGTTTTATTTTTTTATTCTACTAACTTAAATTATCGTATGATCATATATGGATTATTGTATGTCTGCATAAAATAAATGATAATATAATTTATTTATATTATTTTCTAGGTGTTTGTATAATTATGTTTCTTTCTTGATAAATCATAATTAATAAGCACGCACGTTACTAATTTTTAAAAAAAAAAAAATTAAATTGAGCAACTAAATTATTTGGTAAAGATCTATATGCCAGTTAAAGTTTCTTGATTGATTCCAGAAAAATAGAAATGGATTCACTTTATTTTCGACTTAAAGGTGATTGTTATATTTTATTTAATTCTCTTAAGATCATTTTATCCTGAGGTTTAAGATTATAATGAATTATCAAAGTAATCTCCACATAATTAATAAGACGCTGCTAATATTTAAAATGACGGGCGAATTCATAAGATTTCTTGAAACTAAAAGTGTCCATCTCGTAGAAATGAATACATTAAATAAATAAAAAATATGTTTTATACATACGTATTGATAAACGAACATATAATTCTTTGAGCTCTAATAATATTAATATTTTACTTCATTGAGATAAATTAGTGCGCGCCATGTAATCATATGCCTTATTACGACTTGATTAAAATAAAAATTGAATCCATTATTTTTCAAAATTAACTTTGGAATAAATTGATAGGTTTTTATTGAGTTACAACACCTATAAGGGTATTGCATACGATAGAATGAACAATTAAATTGGAAGTTTTTTTTACAAATGTTATACAAAATATAAATCGGATGCCAATTATTGATCAAATTGGTTAATTAAAAATATGAAACCAGCTCATAATTATAATTTTCTAGTATTTAGGTCCGCCAAAATATTTTGTTTATTATCAAGTTAGGAAAAGACAACTACTGCACGTCATTTTTTTTTTTACAACCCTTTTTTAATTTGCAAATATTTTATGAAAATTTTCAAGAATAATATTTATTTATTTGTTTATAAATAACTTTATATCAGGAATAAAATCCTTACGAATGTATTGTCATTTGAGTACTACCTGCTACACAATTTTCTGTAAAAAATCCACGTAAGTGATACAATCTGGATCTAGAACGCACTTTTCTTTTTGTGTATAAAAGGTACAAAACAATGATTAGCAATCACGTGATATTTTACACCCTATTATCACATACATTCTAAAAATGGACGTTAAGGGGAAGATTTACACAGAGAGAAATAAGCTATAGATAAATAAGAATCATTGTTAAGAAGTTATGATAATCAATAAGACTTACACATATTACGTAATTAACAAGGGGTAAGCTTATATTAGATAAGCTATTAAACTGAATATTACGTAATATTTGTAATACTTGTAAGTCCCTAATCGAATAATAATAATAAATCAATTCCTTCTCAAATAAAAACAAAAAAGTCAATTAACTCATTTTTAAAAATTGTTCAAACAACAATCAAAATTAATCAAACAATCATCACTGTCAAGCTAGTAACGATTGTTGCTTTTGAAATAACATTAATTCTACAAATTAATGTTTATATAATATTAAACACTAATACTATGAAATTTATTTACATTGACTTAGCGTTATAATGAAGATTTTAAATTTTCTTGCTGCTGGAATAACTTATCCGATGGAAATTTATTTTTTCATTTTATTGTACGTTATCTCAAATAAATATTGTCTTAAGCTGCTTAACCAAAAGTATTATGATTTTCACTTTTACATAGCGTCAGAATATCAATTAACAAAAAAAAAAATTATTGAATATATTTGAACATATTATTATAATATATGAAAATAATAGAATTTCAGTTTGTAAAATTTAATTTAAATATATTATAGATAAATTATTATCGTTATCACACAGCGAGATGTATCGTGACAATGAAAGAATATTAGTTTCAAATTATGCACAAACATTTACAAATAAAGTTAAATTTAAAAAATCCTAAAAATGTTTTCTAACGAAGAATATTAATTTGTGCAGCGGTCGATTTATTTGTGGCTAATGTAACGCATGAATATTATTACTATAACAGATAATAGATTTATACCAATCTTTAAATAATTTCTAAAAAGGATATACCCGATATGACCTGAACAATTTTGAAACATAAAGGGAGAATATCAAAAACAAANTCTTTAAATAATTTCTAAAAAGGATATACCCGATATGACCTGAACAATTTTGAAACATAAAGGGAGAATATCAAAAACAAAACAATACAATGCATGGGGGGAGGAAATAATAAGAAAACAATGTAAAGTATGTAAAATTCCAATTTTCTATGATGATAATAGATATTTTAAAAGCCTAAAATTTTGTTTGTTTGATTTATTATAAATACGCTTGGCTTCTCCTTGTAAAATCCCATCAAAAGAAAAGAGTTCAAAGAACAAAAAAAATCAATTAATCAAATTAATCAAAGAAATCAAACAAATATCAAATTCTCAAGATTTTTTCTCAAGTAAACTCAATCAAAAATGAATCCAACAACTATTACCTTTAAACCAATTGTTATTGTTGCTTCCGAAATAACTGAAAACCCTGATGGTAATCCTACAAACTCATGTTCTATAATGTAAATGGAAAATTCTTTCAACGACTTTACGATTTTGGTTATTACATGGCAAAACCTATGAAGACCAATTTTAACCCTAATGACGTAGCTACTATTCATTACAAAATGGCCTGGCGCTATTATTTTTATTAAATTTCTTTATATTAACATGTATCATAAAAAAAAATATCTTTGTAATTTAAATTTTATTTGTAATTTTGAATATATTTATTATATTTGTGTATAGTTTTACTTATTCATTAAAAATAAAAATTTTTTGATTTTACATAAATTATAAATTATCTAATTATCATATTAAATATCCTTCTGTTGTACTTCATATTTCGAAGCTCAATCTTTCATTAAAAAAAAAAATGATGCAATATTGTTTGTTACGTAAAATAGCTGCAGTCAGCCATGTGATCAACTCCTTAAAAATGTGACCTGTAAATCCAAACTATTTTAATCACCATTGATTTGTTGAGAAATCGATTCTGCCAAAATCGAATCGAAATGATTGTCGAATAAAAAAAAAAATCGAAACTATAGTGCTGGCCAGAATTACGAAATTATAAATCACGTGACATTGGATCTTTGCGTTAATGCGAAATTTTGAATTGTGATTTGTGTCACACTAAAGTTTTAATTCTGGCCGGAATTATAAGCTTGGCCAGAGTTACTGCCGATCCCTGATTATTCGTGCAATTTTAAATGCGAAATCATAAAATTCAATAATCAAATGATTATATTGTTAAATTTGTGATCATTGGAAATTTTCCTGCCACAAATTTAATGATGCACAATTGATTAGAAATGATTAATCGAAAATCAAATTTTAGAATCGAAATTTGAGAAACGTATTTACCTTGACGCTATTTGACAATTTGATTAAAAGTTTTAGAATATTAAATTTAATTTATATTAAATATTCATGTTACAAGCTTTTTACCTTTATCATCACTGTGAGCCATTACTATATAATTATATCAAAGTTCTCCCTAATGAAAAAGATAATGTAAAATAGTTTTTAAAACCGGTGTGGATTGATTACACAGTATAATTTATGCAAAATGTATAAAATGTATTACGTGACATGAATTAAAGATCAGCACCGACTGCCACCGAGTTGACAAATCAGAACTGAGTTGCTGACAGATCGGCGGCAGAAAATTGTCAGCAGGTTTTTAGTTAAAAATTTTTTGTTTTAAATTTTATTTATAGAAAATTTTTCGTGGAGAATTTTTTTTCTATTTTTTATTATAAAATAAAATTTTTTGATAGATTTTTTTTTTAATAGGTAAAGCTTTTTTTTTTGATAGGATTTCTTTGGAACATTTTTTTTAATAGAAAAATTTTTTTTTTTTAATAAAAAATTTCGGTAGTAAATTTTTTTTATTAATAGAGGAATTTCTTTTTTAATAGAGGTATTTTTTTTCTTGGTAGATAATTTCTTTAAAGAATTTCTTTGAGAATTTTTTTTAATGGGTAAAAATATTTTTTGAATAGATCATTTCGTTAGTAAATTTTTTAACTTGATAGAAAATTTCGGTAAAGAATTTTCTTTTTAATAGAAGGAAAGTTTTTTTGATATGGAAATTCTTTTGAGATTTATTTTAATGGGTAAAAATTTTTTTTGAATTTTTTTTTATATAGGAAATTTGTTTTTTTTTTTGATGAAAGATTTTCGTTAGAAATTATTTCTTTAATAGGAGATATTTTTTGATAATTTTGTTAGTTGAAAAGTTTTTTATAGGTGAGTCTTTTTTTGAATTTAGTTTGGAAAGTCTTAATAGAAAATTTTATTGAAAATAATTTTTTTAATGAGGGAATTGAGAATTTTGGTTTGAAATAATAAAGAATTTCGTTAGAGATCTTTTTTTCTTTTCATAAAAATTTACTGGAAAATTTATTACAATTTTAATAAATTTGTAAATTAATTATTTTTTTTTTTAATGAATATTATAAAATAAATGGTTTGCTAGCACTTGCACGTGATCCAGTGCGAAAAACTATGTTGGTCATTTTGAGGTGAATTTTTTTTATATGACTGCTGATATGACAATTTATATATCACATGAGTAATTTTTATCCATAGATAATTCCACATTCATATAAACTAATTATATATAATCTAATACGCCATTATTAGACTATTATTTGTGCTAGATCATTCTTATCAGTTTGACTAATTTTTCAAGTTTCATTATATTTGGTTTTTACATTTATATTCAGATTTGGTCTACAGTTGTGTTAGATTCATTACATTTTATGTTTTTTATATAAAATACATTAATCATGCATTCAACTATTGGTAAATTTTCTTTACTAAAAAAAAAAAGATGTCAAAATTAAATAGGGACATCATTTTTTATATTTTTCAAGATCTAATTGATTTCACTAATATGAATTTAAACAATAACAAAAAATATAGAAAATCTCTATTTTATTGTTTATTAGTTAATAAACTTTGGTGTGAAATTATGATACCAATATTATGGAGTTCTCCATATAAATATATTTGTAAAAAAGAATTATTTTTTAATATTATCATTTCACATTTATCAGATAATTCAATTAAACTTTTGAAAAATAATTATATCATCAAATCAAATTTTCAAAAGCAAAAACTTTCATTTAATTATATTAAATTTTGTAAAAATCTTAATGATATTCATAAGGTTTTACCAAATGATTCAATATTAAAGAAAGAAATTTATAAACTTTTTATTAGTGAATGTTCTATAAAATGTTTAAGTTTAAATATGATATATTATCCAATATTTCAATATCCAGGAGCAAATATTTCTCTTTCAAATTTATATGAATTATATTGTAATATAAGAGAACAAAATTTTTATCATGAATTGGCACAAATATGTAGATCAATAGAAAAACTTTATATAGAACTTGATGATTATGATCTTTCTGGAATTGTTGAATTAATTGAAATGCAAAAACATATTAAATACTTATATATAGAAGGATATTGTGAATGCCAAAAGATTGCTCAGGCTTTAGAAAAACATGTAAATTCAATTATTTATTTGGTATCAACTAAGTATACATCTTTTTTATATTTTCTCTTTCCAAAATTAACAAATTTACAATTCATAAGAATACGTAATGGGGATAATATTAATAATTATGAACCAATTAAAAAATTTGAGGAATACGCAATGGATGCAAGTTATTATAAACTTCAAATACTTGAGTTATATAAAATATCACTTTATATTGTAATTAATATTATACAAAATACCAATGGAAATCTTTGGAAAATTAAAATTAGAATTCCTAGTTATGATCAAGCAAAAGAATATAATCAGACAATCTACAGATATTGTCCAAATATAAAATATGCAACAGTATTTTTAAACAGAGATGAAACTTTGGAAGAATTAAAGAATATTTTCATCAAGTGTCAATACTTGGTAGCAATAGATATAGATGAGTTAATTTTGGAAAAATATCGTGATAAATTTCTGGATTTGTTGATTGAATTGGCACCACTCCCTTTATACAAAATTCACATTGATCGATTTAGGTATTTTAATAAAGAATCTTTAAAATTATTTTTTAATAATTGGAATTGTAAAGGTAAAAAAACTTTGCATTTATATCATCGTTTTGTTGAAGTGCATAATTTTATTAAAAAATATAAAATAGAAGGTATAATTGAATGTAATTATTATGATGATGATTTTTGGAATCATGAAATTACATGGCCAGATATCGTAAAGGATATATAGATAATATTATTTGTCATAATGATTAGAAATAACAATATATTTGTGTGCATAAAGACGTTGTAACCTTTAACTTTTAGAGAAATTTTAATATTTATACATTTTTATGATTGCTTGTAGCATATGTTTTTTTTATGAAAGAATTAAATATTATTCATTTGTGTAATTATAAATTACATATTTTTGTATTAATAAAAAAAATTTATTATAAAAACATAAAAATAAACAGAAACACTCCCAGTTGAACTTTTACGTAAGTAAAAATTTGGACTTTTGCAAATCTAAAATCTGCAGAACCGCAACTTGCAATTATCCGCAATCTCACAAATATTCCACAAATCCACAAATATCTAAAGTACCGCGATTCAATTGCAGAATATTTGCGGGATTGCAGAATAGTTGCAGATTTGCGGAATGTTCACAAAAAAAACTAATTTTTTTTAATGAATATAATTTTTTAATTTAACTACTAGAAAATATATTTCCTGTTACTTCATTTTTTAATCACATTTCAGCATAATTATTGTCCGGAGATTATATATGTCTACAGCTCTACACATTATGAAAAATGATCGATCATCCTATCTCCTAATGTGACGACGTTACGTCATCCAATAAAATCGAGGTTTATCTTTTTTCGCTGCTTCCTAGTATATAAAACAGTCATATGATATAACAACATTCTTTTTTTTTATCCAACCTATATGTCAAACGCTTCCTCTCTTCCTGTGATAACTTTTCTTGTGTTGAAAGAAAACATACTGTATCTAAAGGAATTGAAAACGTTATTGTCAAGAGCGTAGCAAATGACTATTTATTGTACAGAACTAGATAAATTTGTAGTACCGGTTTATCCCATGTATTTTTCCTTCCTTCCACCTACGTCACTATAATTTAACCCCTGCTTATTTCCTTTTATGTTTTGTATCACATTTTTTTTAACGCTTTATTTTTAGACATTTTATCACTTTAAACGACGGACCCTCAACGGTTTCCGTTTTCCTAGTAATTAATCTGATAAAGAAACTAAAAAACTCTAATCTTCAAATCAAAGTTTTCTTAAAGTCTTCAACAAAGCAAGATAAATATTAAACTGCATGTGACTTCATTGATAATAACTAGATTTGACTGGAATTAAAAATATGGTCATCTACTGTATCTTGAATTTTTGTCATAATTCGATTTCTTTAATGGAAAGAATCCATACTGATAACCTATAATATAAAATATTTAAAATAAATGTTTATAAATAGAAATTCACAAAAAGGTTTTGCAAGACTAAAATATTATATTAGGACTCTAAAACATTTCAATTCTTATCAGTTCGTTAAAAAATGGTTGCTGTGATGACAAAATAATTATACATTTATTTTGAGGATTAAAATCATAAAAAAAAAGTGTTATAAAGTTGAACTATGGTTTATTTATACAATATTAGAACATACCTGTAATCATTTACTCCTAACTTGTTATATTCTTTACTCTCAAAAGAACGTCAAAATTAAATTCTTTCGTACATGTTTTTTTTTTGATTGAATGAAATCAAAAATGTGTTTCTTTATCACTTGCCATTTTTGATTAACTATTCATAAATCATAATGACAAAATAAGTAATAATTCTTGGGTACTTAATAATGCTATTTAATGCTCTTATTAATAAGTTGACAAATTGAAGCAATAAAAAGATGACTTATAAACTTGCGTCTATATTATATATATTTAGTTTATATTAGTGCTCCTACCGGGTCGGATTCGGTCGGGTTTGGAGAATATATCCGACTCGACCCGGCAAAAATAGAAATGATCCGATTTTAACCCGACCCGAGTATATTTAATTCGAATAACCCGGGTTAGACCCGAAATTTTCATTGGATAATATACTGTATGCTTAGTAATATATCAAAAATATTTTTTCAAATATAATTTTTTCAATAACGCAAGGTAATTGATCTACAAGATGATCATATAGGTCACACAACTTTTTGTTATTAAAACTAAAGCTAAGCACGAATTTAAAGATATCTTAAATT